TAAATTCAAAAGAAAAAAATTGTCGACAACTGCCCCTCTTTGCTAATTTTTGTGTTAACAAGAATAGAGCAAAGATAAAAAAGACGAAAAGTTTTCGTCCAATTGGCTTCATGTTTTGATAAAAATTTGTTCCACTAGTCTTTTGTGGAGATCGAAGTTGTGATTTGTTCATGCTTCACTACTCTTTTGTGAAGGCTAGATTTGCTTGAGGAGAATATGTTTCACTTCTCTTCCGTGAAGATCAGATTTGAAGTTGATTTTCTTCCCCTATTCTTTCATAGAGGCTATATTTGAATTACTTTACTACTCTGCTGTAAAGGTTGTATTGCATTGCTTCACTACTCTTTTGTGAAGGCTGAATTGCATTTCTTCACTACTCTTTTTTGAAGGTTGAATTACACTGAGAAGAGTCTCTTTCACTACTCTTCATTGAAGATCAGATTCAAGGTTGATTTACTTCCACTACTCTTCTGTGGAGATCAAACTACAATATTGGGAATAACTTGTTCCACTACTCTTCTGTGGATACTCATAAAATCTTTGGATATCCCTCTTTTTAGGGATTTTGAGTTAGATTACTGATATCTTGAAATTTCAATATTTTCAACCTTCAACTTCATTTTTAGAAACCTATAGGGATGATATTATATTTGCTATCACGTATTTATGAATGTCATGATCTTATTTATGCCTAAGATGTGTGTAATAACAAAATTTTAGGGTATTTTGTTTTTCGAATGAGGACCCTCTTTTGTTATCCATTTGTGACTCAGTCTCATTATGGGTGCACCAATTATAACTATTTTATCTCAGCTGAACATCTTGATCATTTTTGGTCGAACCCGAACCTGTTTTCGTTCTTCTTGATTTCCACCAGTATCAATGACAAACCACTCAATTAGTCACAAAGATTTTGGATCGTTTTCAAATGTTTGAAACTTTCCATGTACTTCATGAATCATGTCCTTACATGTTAAAATCATTGTCTACCTCAGAATACCTGCATTCTTCAAAAACTTTTTGTACAATAATACACCATGATTTCATGTACTTCAAGTTAAACTACATGTTTTAAATTTTCAAAACAAGATGCTTGCAAAAAGAAGAATTAACAAGAAAATGTCTCCTTTTATTCATATGAAGAGTTTTTAAGTAAATACATGGAAAACTTTTTCTGAAATTTTGTAAAAGACAAAATAGGCATCTTCAAACATCAATAGCACAAATACTTTTGAACTAGCACGCCGTAAAGTGATTTAATTATAGCTTATGTCAGAAGGATCTTGAGATTATGATAAAGATGAGGAGTTCCTTCTTATACCACCAAATTTCCAGTACTGAAACTTATCATCGATCATAAGGATAAACAACACTTGATGTAGTTACCCCATGATCAAGAAAATATGAACCCTAAATTATTCAAATTGTCCGTTATGGATTTTCATCTTACAATCTTCTTTGATTCCAAGATATCCTTTTTAGATCTTGAATCCTTCTTCTCTTTCATGCAAAATACCTTTTGACCGCATCAGAATTCACTGGGCAAGGTAATTTGTGCCCATCCATTTCAGCAAGAACTAAAGCTCCTCCAGAAAAAGCCTTTTTTACAACATAAGGTCCTTCCCAATTTGGAATCCATTTCCCTCGGAATTCCTTTTGAAAGGGTAAAATCCTTCTAAGTACGAGATCTCCTTCATAAAATTCTTGAAGACGAACTTTTTTATCATGTGCTTGTATCATCCTCTTTTGGTACATCTGACCATGACAAATAGCTTTCATTCTTTTTTCTTCAATCAAATTCAACTTGTCATATTTGGTATGTACCCAGTCTGCCTCATTTAGCTTTACTTCTAATAAAACTCGTAGTGAAGGAATTTGTACCTCAATAGGTAAGACTACTTCTATACCATAAGCTAACGAAAAAGGAGTTCCCAAGTCAATGTTTGTACTGAAGTTCTATAAGCTAATAAAGCAAATGGTAGTTTTTTCATACCAATCCTTATAAGTTTTAGTCATCTTCTCTATAGGCCTCTTGATATTCTTATTAGGTGCCTCAACCGCTCCATTCATCTTTGGGCGATAAGTGGTGGAATTATGATGCTTTATCTGGAACTGTTCACAAACTGATTTCATCATTTTGTTGTTTAAATTCAAAGCATTGTTAGTAATAATCTTTTATGGCAAACCATATCGACAAATGATTTCTTTTTTCAAGAATTTACAAACTGTGGACTAAGTGATGTTTGCATAAGAAGCTGCTTCTACCCATTTGGTAAAATAGTCTGTTGCTACCAAAATGAAGCGATGGCCATTTGAAGTTTTGGGAAAAATTTGTCCAATAACATCAATGCCCTACATTGAGAATGACCAAGGAGCTGTCATTACATGCAATGGATGAGGAGGAATGTGCTTAATGTCTCCATAAATTTGACACTTGTGACATTTTCGGGCATAATTGATATAATCAGTTTCTATAGTTGACCAATAGTATCCAAATCTCATAATTTTTCTAGCTATTGTATGCCCATTAGCATAAGTACCACATACCCCTTCATATACTTCTTCGAGAATTATTTTGGCTTCTTTGGTGTCTATACATCTCAATAGGATTTGATCCAGGCTCTTTTTATACAAGAATTTACCATCGATGACATATCCTGATGCCATTCTTCTGAGAGTTCTTTTATCATTTTCAGTTGCCTGTTCAGGATAACTCTGATACCTGATATATTGTAATATATCATAGTACCAAGGTCTCACATCTTCTTCTTTTTCAATATTAAAATAACAAGTTGGATATTCATAGGCATGCATTTCAATGGGTATCATGCTTGAATACTCATCTACCTTAAATGCGGCTGCCAAAGTTTCCAAGGCATCTTCCACTTGGTTTTCTTCTATGGGGAGGTAGTTGAAAATTACTTCTTCAAATTCCTTGATGAGTTCCATAACCAATTTATGGTATTCTACAAGCTTGAAATCTTTTGTCTCTCATTCTCCTTTAATTTGGTAAATTACTAGAGCTAAATCGCATATACCTTGAGCATTTTTACTTTACGTTCAATGGCAACTATAAAACCTAAAATACATGCCTCATACTCAACTATATTGTTGGTACAGTCAAAATTAAGTCAGCTGGTAAATGGATAATGCTCCCCATTTGGTGAGACCAAGATTGCCCCAATTACATGCCCCAAAGCATTTGAAGCACCATCAAAAAGTCAATTTCCAATATTCATTGGTGGATATAATTGATTCGTCCGTTGATATTGCCATTAAATCTTCATCTGGAAAATCAAAATTTATCGGCTCATATTCATGAGAAGCCATATTTGCAATAAATTCAGCTATTGCACTCCCTTTTACTGCTTTTTGACTGACATATTAGATGTCGAATTCTAACAACAAAATTTGCCAACGAGCTAACCTTCCAGATAATTCAGGTATATCCATTAGATATTTCAAAGGATCAAATCTAGATATAATCCATGTGGTATGATATAACATGTACTGCCTATGCCTTCTTGTAGTTCATACCAAAGCACAACACAAATTTTCAATTGGAGAGTATCTAGTTTCACATTCAGTGAACTTTTTACTGAGATAGTAAATAGCTCTCTCTTTTTTCTCAGTTTGATCATGCTATCCTAATACACACCCCATTGAATTTTCCCAGACCGATAAATAAAGAATTAAGGGTTTTTCTGATCACATTTCTCAGTTAGCTGCGAAATAAATCGAGCTATATAATTTAGTCTCCCTAAAAATCCTCGAAGCTCCTTTTATGTTTGTGGGGGTGGTAAATCTTGAATAGCTTTGACTTTTTCGGGATCTATTTCAATTCCTTTTTGGCTTACAAAAAATCCCAAGAGCTTTCCAGATGTTACTTCAAATGTACACTTATTTGGGTTAAGCTTTAATTGACATTTCCTTAATCTTTGGAAAAGCTTTCTCAAATTCTTGACATGTTCATTTTCTGACTTGGCTTTGACAATCATATCATCGAAATAAACTTCTAATTCTTTATGCATCATGTCGTGAAATAATGTTACCATAGCCCTTTGATACATTGCCCCTGCATTCTTTAGACTAAACGACATCACTTTATAATAAAATGTTCCCCACAAGGTGACAAACGTTGTTTTTTCATATCATCAGGGTGCATTCTAATTTGTTTATAGCCATTGAAACCATTCATAAATGAGAATAAAGAATTGTTAGCATAATTGTCTATGTGGTAAAGAAAAATTATCCTTCGGGCTAGCTCTATCGAGGTCTCGGTAGTTAATACACATTCGAACCTTACCATCTTTTTTTGATACATGGACAATATTTTCTATCCATTCAGGGTACTTGGCCACTTTAAGAAACCCGATATTGAGTTTCTTTTTTACTTCTTCCTTGACTTTAAGTAACATTTCAGGTTTCATTCTTTTCAACATTTGTTGCACATGTTTACATTTTAGCTTTATTGGTAACTTGTGTACTACCAATTATGTATCTAATCATGGCATGTCTTTATATGACCAAGCAAATACGTCTTTGTATTCTTTCAGAAACTCAATCAAATTCTATTGTTCTTTATCAGATAAGGTAGTGTAAATTTTTACCTCCTTATTCGCATTGGACCTAAATTTAAGATCTCAATAGTTTTCTCATGAGGCAGAATTTGCTTATCCTCATTTTCCACCATTTTTAACAGCTCAGGAGGTAAGTCACATCCCTCACCATTGCCATAACTCCCGACTTCCTCAGGACACATGGGCTGTTTAAAGTCAATTTCGGGTCAGTATCATAATCATTCATGTTATTGATATTTGAGTTCTTGAAAAGAAAATGAACAAGAGTATATACATATGATCACAAAAATACATTTAAAAATGTTTTCCATTTGGAATTAATGCATCTTTAATTGAAAAAGAAAAAACACAGAGTTTAACCCTTTACAAAAAATCAAACTATTGCCATAGGGTACAAGCAATAGAAAAAGTTCTTGTGTATTACTCTGAAAAAGACTTGAAAACTACAAGTAATTCTTCTGCAGTCCAATTACTTAACTCAAAGTCTGATGGTGCGGGGTAAATGCCGATAGCTTTCTTTTCTACAGATTCATCGTCTGATATGACATTTATACTCATTTCTTTCAAAGTATTCTCAACAATCAACCTTTTGTTTTGCTGATCCTCTTGAAAAATGTGTCCTCCAGACACAAAAGTATTACTCAATGGTAGAAAAATCATTGGTTCCCATATGAGATCTTCTCCAGCTAACTTTTCCTTCCTCAGTTCTTGATTCTTTCTAATACCCCTCTGTTTCTCCTTTACAGTCGGTTGATATCCCAAACCAAATCGATCTTTCTTAGAAATAGGAAAAATTGGTTTAACGGGTCCTTACAAATAACTTCTTAGCCCTTTTCCATTTTTTGCTCCCTTTCCCAAGGTCAATCTGAGCCCCATTTTTGTACAATTCGAAATTTTAGGTTTGGGCGTCTTTTTTCCTTTGGCCACAAATATGGCATTAACAAATTCCAACGATCTAAAAGAGCACTCATTAGCTTCTTCATCCAATTCAACATATGGAGTAGTGGTAGAGACTGAAACAATGATGCCTTCTTCAGCATTAAGACATATCAGCCTGCCATCTATTACAAATTTTAACTTCTGGTGTATTATGGATGGAGCTGGCCCTACTTGGTGAATCCAAGGCCTCCATAGTAAGCAATTATAAGTGGGTATAATATCTATTACAAGGAATTCCACTTCATATGTAGCTGGACCAATAGTTAAAGTAATGTTAATTTTTCCCAATACCTCTTTCTTGGTTCCATCAAAAGCTCAGACAATACTCTTACTATTTCTCATGAGTGTACTGTCGACTGGTAATTTCTTCAAAGTAACTAATGGCATTACATTCAGAGATGAACCATTATCAACTAATACTCAAGATAGAATATGTCATTTCCACTTAACCGTGATGTGCAGGGCTTTAGGGCTACCACTCATCACAAAAGGGATTTCATCTTCAGAAAAAAGAAAGGAAATTGTCAGCATGTATGTTTGTAATCAACCTATCCAATTTGTTTACAGATAATTCTTTTGGCACAAAAGTTTGATTTAACAGATTCAATAAAGTATTTCGATGTGCTTCTGAGCTTAATAAAAATGCTAAGACTGATATACGAGCAGTCAATTTTTGTAATTGTTCAGTAATACTGTATTCACTATGTTTGAGAAATTTCAAGAATTCTACAGCTTTATTTTCATTCACTGGTTCATTGATGACAATTTCATATTCTTTCAGTTGTAATACACTTTTCTTTCCTTTATTGACTATAGCTTGCTTTTCAAGCTCTTTAGAATAACACCTTCCACTTCTGGTAAAATGTCCAACCTCATCTACCTCTTCATTTCCTCCCATTGTTTTCTTCATTTAGTAGTCATAATTCCACGACACTTGCTTGTCATCTTTATACGGGAACGGGGATGGAGAAGTGATGACAACTTTTGGAGCTATTTTGTCTGATATACGAGTCCTTGGTGTAATAACTAAAGGATAATTAGAGTTTTATACCTCTCTAGATGATCCCTCGGAGGCACAAATATACATTTCCTCTTCTTCTGGTGTTTCCTTGAAAAATTCCATTTCTTTTTCATCCATCATCTTTTGTACCAAAGCCCGAAAATCTGGACATTATTGTATAACTTGTCCTTCGCAATAATGATAATGGCATATATTTCCATAGTTTAATTATTTTGCTGACAGATTAGATTTCAATAGACCAACTTTAATCATTTAAGTCCACACCCAAAACATAGGTGATTTCACCTCACTGACTTGCCTCATAACCTGTTTTTCCTTTTTCCTATACAACTGCATTGATTCCCGCTCCTGCGTGGTTTGACAATGGATTTTGAGCCACATTCGGTTGTTCATTATCACCAAAAATTATGGCATTCTTTGTTATAAGGATTTAGATGATTCTTTTGAATGCGATGCAATTTTTAATAGAATGTCCACGAGCCCCTGTATGATATTCGCATTACAAACTATCATCGTTTCACTTAGGATATGGATGTTGTATAGGTGATACATGATAGGGTGACACTAAATGTTTGTCATATAATATCTGGAATAATTCTTTGTACGACATAGGAATTGGGTCAAACTGTAGCTTTTCACTTTCTTGTCTTGGTTCTCTTACCCTTGCATGACAGCGTTTTGTGTAGAGGATCCAATATCTTGAGGTCGAGACATCATGATATTGTTTTATTCATATTTCCTCTCGTGATTTACCTAATTTTTCTTTCTTTTTCATTAATTGCTTCTTGCTAGATTCACCACTTTCAACTTTCCCAATTTTAACTGTCATTTCAATCATCTTACCTACTGTGACTATGTCAGCGAAGCTCTTAAAAGAATTCCCTATGAGGTGAGTAAAGAAAGGATCTTTTAAGGTGTTTACAAAGAGTATATTTGTTTCTTCTTCTTCCATGGGTGGATGCACTTGTACAACTATGTCCCTCCATCTCTGGGCATAATGCTTGAAACTTTCATTGATTTTCTTTTCCATGTTCTGCAACACCATTCGATTAGGTCTTATATCCTTTACATGATTGTATTATTCAAGAAAAGATTTAGCCAAATCTTTCTAAGATTTAATATGAACTCTACTTAATTGGTTGTACAATCGAATGGCCAAACCTATTAAGCTTTCTTGGAAATAATGAATCAGTAGTTGATCATTCCCTATATAACCCGTCATTTTTTTGCGAAACATTGTGATATGGGTAGAATGACATTTCATGCCATCAAAATTTTCAAAATATGGAATCTTGAACTTAGGTGGTAATACCAAATCAGATACCAAACTCAACTTTTTTGCTTCAATTCCATATATGTTAGAGCCCTCTTTCATGACCTTAACTTCTTCCATTAGTTGTTCCAATTGTTTATTTGATTCTTTCTTTTCTTCTTGATCAAAATATGGAACATTTTCAATTTTTTTGCCTTATTGAAGAACTAGGTAAGTTTATGTTTACTCTTCCTGACTGAGTAATTACTCCTGTATGGGCCTTAACATTAGATGTTGTAAGGTTTGGGGGTTTAGGGGTTCCTCAGTTACTTGAGCTTTTTGACAATCTGCTCTTGGTGTAAAGCCTGGAGGGTACAAAGATTCTTCAGTGATAGTACCAACAGCTGAGGTATTTACTTGGTCCATACCTCTCCTTTGTAACATACTTGCAAATATTTTCATAATATCATTATGGGATTTCAGCATTTGTTCATACATTTCTTCCTGGGCTTTCTTAAAATTTTCTTGCATCTCAAGCTGAGTCTTTTTAATTTGAGTGATTTTATCGTCCATTACCCTTTTTCTGGTATTGTATGGATGCTTAGAGGTGTCCAATATTCTTCAAAAAAGAAAAAAACCCCTTTAATAAAAATGAATGTTTTATTAATGATTATGATAAATATGATCAAGAAATATAACGTAAAATGCTATATGAGAAAAACAAAAATGCTTATGCAAAATATGTTAGATACAAGGTATTGATATTGGAATGATTCCTTTAGAACAAATTTTATAGTAAAACAAAGTTTTATTATAAAGCTTTTAAACATAATACAGATACAACATCACAGATACAACATTACATATACATCTGAGAAATTTCTCCTAACTGCTGTAAATGCTCAAGTAACTCAAAGACCTTATGAGCTTCTTTGGTTTCTGGATCTAATCCTTCACTTAAAGTGGTAGCCTCATATGCCAAATCAACCAAGTATTGCACCACTCCCTGAGCTTGCTCCAAATATTTTGCAATAAGATCATCTCTTTGTTCGACTTTCCATTGGGCACGTTCCCAACGATAACTCCATTGCAAAATTCCTTCATAAGGGACAATAGGGAGTTGATTTTCCTTCCTCTGAAGATCTTGGACCTTGGCCTCCAGTTCATTTACTTGCTTTCTCAGGCTTTTAGCTTCTAAGTTACTTTCTTGGCTTTGTACTTCCGTCTCTATCCTTAAGATCTTGTTTTTTAGTTTCTGATTTTGAGCTTGATTTTCCAGCAATCGTTGCTCTAATGCTTCCTTTTATTTGGAAAGTATCTTGGCATGATGTTTTCTTCGTTTGAGCTCTTCTTTGTTTTCTTTAGCATTTCTTTTTAAACCTGTCGATTCTTGTTTGCTTGAACCTTCTGCAATCTGAGTCTTTACCATCTGCTGATAAGATGACTGGAGATCATTAAAATCTAATATGAGATGTTTTTCAACTTTGCTAACCTGATATGCTCGTCCTTTATAGATGTCTATTTCAATTCCTTTATGGTATACTTCCACTTCTAATTTTTGCAGAGTTCTTTTCCATTGCTCCATTTCAATCTCAAAGTCTTGTCTTGCCAACTCTAATGGAGATGGTATAACTCTTAAATGTTCTTGGATAGGTAGAACATTCTCAATATTAACCATTGGGAGTTTGTCGTTGACTTGGCTGATTATCCATCGCTCGTATTCTTGTGAAGGCCTTTGACTGAAAGTAAACAAATTTACTTGATGAATCATTTTCCAGGCATCATCGATTCTTCTGACTTTATCCTTGTACTAATCACTTCTAAATGCAAACTCTGATTCAGACAAACCCGATGTTACAGGAATAAATTGCCTCGATCCATATTGTCTGGAGACCATCAAAGGTGCATGTCCTACGGAACCCAAAATGACAGTTAATGGAACCTAATTATATTCTCCATATTTATACAATATATTTGAAGAAGTATTCCAGGAGGCTCGCCATAATACGTCACTATTTTTGAGATTTTTGAAGATATTCATCAATTTTTCTTCATCATAACTTCTAGGCTATTCTCGAGAAAGGAAATCTCGCAAGGGTGAAAAATCTTCCAGAAATACTCGGCCAGGTGCTCTTTCCTCGTGCTTAAGATGATTAAGAATCTATACCAATAAAAAAGGTGCACAACCTATAAACTGTACCTCTCCTTCTTTCAAACAGGTCCACAGCTGATATATCCACATGCCCCAGAATCTTTGGAAAAATGATCAGTCCATAAATACCTAAAGCCAATATATCAATCTTCTTTCTTTTGTCTTGATGGCGGTAGATGACTTCTCTCAAAAAAGTCTAAGTGATACATTCACTATCACCATTCTTTTTTATATTTATTGTGGCCCACTCTTTACTCATTCTGGTAATTAAGAGTACTTTCTTCTTAAAAGGAGCAATATTAGGTGGCTTGATATATACCCTATCTTCATGGGATCTCTAATAGTGAATAAGAGCTCGATATTCCTCCATAGTAGGCATTAAATCCACTTTGCCAAAGGTGAAGCAAGTGTAGGAAGAATTTCAAAATTATGATAAAGCTCTGAACAAATGTCGGTCAACAGGGATGTCTAAGAGATAAGCAATGTCACCATAAAACTATCAATCATTTCCCATTTTCCCCATATTTCTTTAAACTCATTCAGATTGTTTTGGCGTACATTGATATCAGTATAGCCGATAAGGTCTGATACATATCCTGGTGATAAGTTATTTCCTTTGATAATTTGAGACTGCCCAGACCATCTTAGAACAACTGCATTGTCCTCTACTTCATATTGGATTCTTTGTTCCATATTTCCAGCTTTCTTATGGAAATCAATCATGAATCAACACCATGGTATGAAAATATAATGTAGAAAAAACATATTACTCAAGAATATTCAGTCAGAAAATCCTAACTTCATACAAGCTAGTTCACATACTTATTTGGAAAGATAAACATAACCGCATGATTTCTAGTTCGCATGCATTTATTCAAAAAACAAAGTAACAATTACAAGACTCAACAAGCTTTTCCTTGTGTTCTAACCTTACGATACTTATTCGGGTTGGGCTCTTACTAGATTCAAGTTCTAGGTTTATTATATGCTGAGTTCAGGCTCTAAGGTAAAAAGGGTCAACGAATTGTCCTTTGTTGGTGCCCCCTTGCACTGCCAAGCCCTCAATCCTGGTCCATTACAAACTTTTGGATCGAGCTCAATTCGAAGGAACACACTTCCTTATGTCCATACGAAGGTGAAAACCACACAAGGAACATAACGTGTGAGCTCAAAGAATGGTCCCCTATCTAATACGGAGGTGAAAACCACACGAGGGAGTAGTTTCTCATTCAAGCTAAATAGGATAAGAGCGGGGTTTTAGCTTATGTTATTAAATGCAGTGCACAGTAGGTGAGGAAAATCATAAAAAAATAATGTACACCATGTAAATTTATTCTAAAGACCCATATTTAAATATGAAAACATAAAAAACAAGTTAGTATAACTATTTATACAGAAAATGGTTATTAAAATAATCAAAGATTTAAAACAAAATTAAAACAAATTTATAATTTTATTGCAAAGACAATTAATTAATATACTGGTGGATTGACTCTCTTTGAAAAAAGTCCCCAACAGAGTCGCCAAGTTGTCGAGACGTTTATTGCCCGGCGAAAAAAACAAATAGTACACCTAAGTGTAACTGTCTCAAAAAATAAGTGTTTTTCTTCCTTGAATAAGATAAAACACTAATGTGAAGAGTCGCCACCAATCATTTAATGAGGTGTGATTGGTCACCAAAATATTATGATATTTTAATAAAATTCTTGGGAATAATATTAAAATAACACAACAAGGGTCTACTTACCAAAGAATGAGTTCAGGAGTCGGTTACGTATGGGGAATGATTAGCACCCCCATAACGCCCAAAATTGGTACCATTGTTTTTTAATTAATTTGTATTTGCAATAAAATTTATAAATTTGTATTTAATTTAATTTAAATCATACAAATAAAATTATTTATAATTACTACTACAAATACCTAATATGTTAAGTATTATAAGTTTAAATAATCCTATAATTATTTAAAATATTAAAGTTTAGCGAATAGATTATAAAATAATAAAAATAGTGGCATTAATTCGAAATATTACTAAGTGTAGATGCTATTAATGTAATTTAGCCTTTATTATTAATAGGGATTAAAATATAAACTATTAAAATATAAGGGACTAAACATAATATTTACCCTAATATATATATATATGGCAGTGACCAAAACATGATAAAATAAAATATAAAATCTAAATTAAGATGCACGAAAACATGCTTTCAATGACTAAATTAGAAAATTACAAAGTTATAGGGACTCCGGGTATAATTTACCCATGTTTAAATTTACACATAGGCCCCTCCCCAAAAAGACATCATTCGGGGAGGGGTATAAATGGCCCACCAACCGACCATTTAGGCCTAAACCTCTAATTTCTTCTATTTTCTTCCTTCTCTTAGAGAGAGAAACTCTCTTCTCTCTAAGTTTCCCTCGTCGGAGGGAAACCGTTCACCGGTCGACCACCAATCACCACCGCCGGCCACCGTGAACGGTGGCTGAAATTCACCCAAATATACCAAAATATTCCTCTCTTTCCCCTAAAGCCTAAACTGAAAACTGTTTACCCTAAAAAGCCCTCAATCGAAGTAGATCTAAGATTAATACCTTCGAAGTTTGACTTCTCTGGTGACGTTTGGATGCTCCAACGACGGTAAGACTTTCCTCCCTTTCTTCTTTTAATATTTTACTAATTTTGGTAACTGCCTTAGCTTCTCTCTTGCTTGGTTCTTGTTTTTCTCTTGCAGATTTCGACCCTATTTATAAGGTTTTCGAACCACCTTTCGGACCGGTTAAAAGGGTAAACCTCGGTGAGTCACTGGAGCTACGGTGGTGACTCACCCTAGGGGCAGTGAGTTGTGCGGTTGATAGACTGGGTGCATTAAATGTACCCAGATCTCTTAGATCCAGCGATGATGTGGCTGTTGTTGACTGGAGCGTTTGGAGGCGACGCCAGCGAGGGCATCATCACACTATGACGGCGGTCGAAATAGCCCTAGGGTTGTAATGATATAATAATAATAATATACAATTAAATTCGGACGAAAATGACTGTCGACACAGACTTACCACCGGAAAGAGGTTATTAAGTTCTTTGTTTTTGTATCCCGATATCCCTGAGAAGCTCTCATATGTTGGTGATTATGGTGGATCTTCCTATTATCTGACTGCTCCCACAAACGGTATTATAGTTGCTAAGAAACCATCTAATTGTAGCCAAAGCCTGCTGTCATCGGATCGACATAGTTGGTCGATTAAAGCGGTTAAAGAGCGTGTGAATACTGCCTCCATTGCTTCAACTGCAGAGCCTTTGTTTGGGGGATCCGATGACTTGGAAGAAGAAAGCTATGATCTTGATTACTCTGTGGAGGCTCTTCTTTTGCTTCAGAAGTCTATGCTTGAAAGCAATGGACTCTCTCATTCAAATCGCCAGTTCGAAAAGGTTATGAGAAGGTACCTGTTACTTGTTCTGGATAAGGTGTTCAAATTTTCGAACTAATTCGATTAACCGACCGAACCGAATTAGTTCGGTTAATTCGATCGACCATCCAATTAGTTCGGTCGGTCAACGGTTAAGAAAATTTTAGAATTCGGTTAACGGTTAATTCGGTTCAAAATCGGTTAATTAACCGAATTAACTGAAATTAAATTTTAAATTTTAAATATATTATATATAACATATGGGCTCAGCCAAAACCATTTAAAACCCAATTAATAATTTAAGATCCAATAAATTTTAAACCTAAATCAATATTAATTAATTAAAAAAATTTATATAAAATGTTTATTTTATAATTATATATTATTTAAATTAATTGTAAACTATTTTTTTAATTAAAAAATATTATATATATTATATATAATATATGAGATCAGCTGAAACCATTTAAAACCCAATTAATAATTTAAGATCCAATAACTTTTAAACATAAATCAATATTAATTAATTAAAAAAATTATATAAAATTTTTATTTTATAATTATATATTATTTAAATTAATTAGAAACTGTTTTTTTTTCAATTAAAAAATATTTAATTTTTATATAAATTAGAAAATTTTAAAAATTTTAGGTTAATTCGAAAATTAGCCGAATTAACCGAAATTTATTCGGTTCGGTTAATATTTTCGAAAAAAAGTTCGGTTCGGTTAACGGTTAAAGAAAAAAAAGTTCGGTTAATTCGGTTAAAGTTAATTCGGTTCGGTCGGCCACCGAATTAACCGAATGAACAGCCCTAGTTCCGGGGTGTCAGCTCGGCAACGGAGAGTCGGTACTAGGAGGAAAATTCTGAGCCGGTGCAAACTAATGTCAAACAGGTAAGATCATTGATCGGTCCAGAGCTGCTTCGAAGCCGGTCAAAAGGTTATGTGAAAGGTGTAGTAACTGCGGAGTTGCTCAGCCATACTGAAGTTGTTCGATTGTCAAAGAAAATCCGAGCGGGACTTTCATTGGAGGATCAGAGGTTTAGGTATTTGTATATGATGTATATTAGATGAATTGTTGTAATTCAATTCTAATTGTTGTGATGCCATTGTAGATTGAAGGAAAGGCTCGGGTGTGAACCGTCTGATGAACAACTTGCAACTTCTTTGAAGATTTCTCGTACCGAGTTACATTCGATATTATTCGAATGTTCATTTGCAAGAGACAAGCTGGCAATGAGCAATGTTCGTTTGGTTATGTCCACAGCTCAACGATACGATAACTTGGGCGGGAAAATGTCTGATCTTATTCAGGTAACCCACCTTTGAATACACAATAAGATGATCTACTTATACCATGTCCAATTGTTCAGTTTTACTGCATCATGAACTTGTTTGTTCTATTTATGTGTAGGGTGGTTTGATTGGACTATTGCGAGGTATTGAAAAATTTGATTCTTCAAAGGGATATAAAATTTCGACTTACGATTACTGGTGGATAAGTCAGGTAATGATCATCCGAGGTCCTACGACTCTGATGAGAGTGTCGAATATGAATACGTGCCAGAAAATCAGTGTTTGTACTTTATGTTACTTTGAAACTAGTTTTGATCTTATTTTACAAGATGTTACATAGTTCACCTTTTTCCTCGGTGTATCAAGAGCATTAGTCGAGAACTCGAGAACGTTAAGGTTGCCTACACATATGCATGAACGATTGGGATTAATCCGAAATGCAAAATCCAGACTCCGAGAGAAAGGAATAGTGCCGACTATCGATGTAAGTGGTATCCATTACTATTACAAGTATTAAGCTTCGATGAATTACAGTTAGTCCGACCGATGTTTAATACCTGCATCCGAGCTTGACCCTATTTTAAGCTTATTTATTCTCTCAATCAACCATAATCGATTCTATTATACTTGCAGAGGATTGCCGAGAGTCCGAACATGTCCCAGAAAAAAGTTTGTAATGCTACCGAGGTACTGAAGTTACTTTCCGGGTTAACAATTGCAGATGCATTTTCCAATCCTAAATCTAGAATTACTTTGATGCAGGCTGTAAGGTCTTCTCACTCGACCGCGATGCGTTCCCCTCTATCAACGGTCTTCCAGGAGAGACTCATCATAGTGTAAGTTACCACTAATATGAACCAACTCAACCTTGATGATTATTTACTACTAATAAAGTTTCGGTTTTTTGAGTACATTGCAGATAACCATGAAGGAAACAATCCATGGCATGGAGTAGATGAATGGGCACTTCAGGTAAATGAATAG